CTCCATTAGGATGTTGATTATTTTTATTTTGAACTCCCCTTCAGGAAGAGTCATGAGGTCCATATCATTTAAATCTTTCTCGGGAGTTGTATTAACAATTTTACTCTGGACAAGGTTCCTTTGGCGTTTCATGTTTGTATATGGCGCCCTCTAGTGTCCAGAAGCTCTATTCTGGAGCTGCTGAGCCCCTGAAGCAATGTCGGGGGTTGCAGGGGAGCGGTACTGGTACCCGGTTGGGTGGGGTCTGCTCTTTTCTCCAGGTGTGTGCAGTCTGACGCCGTTTTCTTTCCTGTTGCTCTCTCTGGATTAGTTGCGCCAATTAAATTTTCTAATGTATCCAGTTTTAGGAGGAAGCCTCTGTCTCTCCTCTCCCATCTTTAATCCTGAATCTGTCCATTGTATTCATTCTGATTTGGGTTGGTAATTTCTCTGCAATCTGTAGTTTGTTATCTTTGGTTAATTTTGAAAAATCCTTTTATTATCTCTTCAAAGATTGCTCTGGCGTGTTCTGTTCTTCTGGTACTCCATTTTACAAATGTGTTATACCTTTCCACCACATTGCATATGTCTCTTAGGCCTTTTACTGTATTTTCCATACTTTTTTTCTCCCTCTGCTTCTGTCTGAATATTTTCTTCTGACCTGTCTTCCAGTTCACAATAATCTCTTCCACTGTCTCTAATCTGTTGTTAAGCCCATCTAATTGAATTCATAATTTTAGTGATTGTTTTTGTTCCAAATTTCCCTTTGATTCTTTTCTATTGATCTAATTTCCCTGTGGGAAATTTCCACCTCATAATCTATTTCCTTTAGCATATTAATTAAGTTAAAGTCTGTGTCTGACATGCCAATATCCTATTCTCCTGTGGGTTTGTTACTTTATATATATATTTTTCCTGGTTTTGCATTGTTTATCCTCTGGTTTTCTTTATACACTTTAGTTCAATTCTGGGTATTGTGTATTGTGGATATTGTAGTTAATTTAAGGCCCTGATGGTGTTATTTTCCCCCAGAGATTTCCTTTGGCTTCAGGCTGGCAATGGGAAGAATAAGTTAGCTTGGTCCAGTTTTGGAGTGAGCTGTTTGGAAGCTGGGCTTCCATCTTTGTGGGGACTGTTTTACACCTTAGCCTTACTCCTTTGCCGTTAGCCCCTGTGTTCTAGCAGAGGCCTGGGCTGTCCATCAGACCCCTACCCATTTATCTTGCAGTAGGCCATGCCCAATTATTGTCTCCTCCATCCTATGAGACCCAAGTCTCTGTTCAGTCTCAATTTACTGTCCACACACGTATTACAGACTGTACTGCGTCTCTTCCCCCTCTTCCCCTCGCTCCCTCTCCTGCACTCCATGCACATAGAAGTAAGGCCACATGAGGACACAGGGAGATGGTGACCGTGCACAAGCCAAGGAGAGAGCTCTCACCAGAAACCAAACCTGCTGGCACCTTGATCTCAGACTTTCAGCGTCCAGAACTGTGGAAAAAAAATGTGTAGGCATCCAGTCTGTGCTGTGTGGTTGCAGCAGCCTGAACTGACTGATACATCATACTAATCACCATATGCCTGAAAAGGAAAAATTACCTTCCTTCTTTCTGGGTCTTTGCCCCTCAGAGAAAGTTTTGGTAGCTATCTGATGTCTTCAACTAGATTTTCAAAATATTTTATACAGATTTTCTGGTTGTTTAGAGCCACAGTAGTTTAATAATTTGCTTTTAAAATCTTATCAGTATGTTATGAGCATCTTTTCCCATTATCAACTACTCTTTTTTTAAACAGATTTTTTTTAGTAGTGACACAGGCTTTCATCATATGAATGGACCATAGTTTCTTACTGTACCACATTTAGATACTGGTTTTCATAATTTCAAGTCATATATTTTTAACACTTTTAACTAACTAATCTGAAACCAGGAATTGTCTTCCTTCCATAACAGGTCACAGTTTAATTTGTAAGTGGCACAAGCAATGCTATGTTTTGTACCTGACAGCGTCTTACAGTCAGTGATGGAATATGCGTCCGAACACTGGCTACCACAAGTCACAGTCAGTAGCCTTCTGATCCCTAGTGTCCACCTCTGTCCTAGAAGGGGCTGGCTTCTGGTGGCTCCCCTCTCCTGGAAGCACAGCCTGACCTAGCCAATCTGCCTTGGGTTCCTCTGGTAGAGTTGGGGCCCCTGGTCTAGATTCCAGGATGAAAGGGACCAGAACCCTTGGACCCGGCAGCCCCATTTGTTGGGACCCCCTTCCCCTCTCCTTAATGGTGCCTGTAGCCAAGAAAGTGAATTTTTAAGTCAATGACCGTTTGTGAAATTAAGGACCATGGAAACCTGGCTCTTTGGCTTTGTGATGTTAAAGGAAATGCATGCAGCCAAGTTGGCTTGACTTTAGGATGGCACCTGTTCAGTCCTTAGGCTCATTCCAGGCCCTGCTGTTTCCTATGAGTGACACTGTGCACCGCCCTCCCTCCAAAGCTTCATTTCCTAACTGGCAAAATAGGGATCACAAGGGTGCCTGCTTCAAGCAGTGAGACTTGAGTGGGATGATATAGGCACCATGTGTGGCACACCTCAAATGGGAGAGAAATGTGTCTCTGGTCGATCCTGAGGCATTAGGATTACAGACAGGGAGGACAGGAAGAGCCTGGCCCTTCTAGCAGTGTGCACCTCTGTGCCTGAGAACAGAGTCCTGGCTGTGGCCCCATTCTCCAGCAAGTTTCGTGGGCCTGTTGGCCGTCTTGGCAGGACCTAACCCTGGGTTTGCTCCAAGAGGCAGCAGAGCACACTGGGCAAATCCCAACTGTATGCTCAGCACGGCTGGGATGCCAGGCGGGTAGCTGAACCTCAGTGCCTCATTTTGCTCCCCTGTAACATGAGCTGTCATGAGGATTAGGTGCACTCCAGATACATTAGCAAAACTAGAGGGTCTCCTGCACTGTCCCACCATCTCCCTGCTGCGGTCAGCTCCCATGGGTCAGGTTCAGAAGGTCCAAACCAGGACTAACAAGGGGAAAAAAAGGAAGCGAAAAAAGAGCGTGAAGCCCAGCTCAGGTCAGAGAAAGGCAGAGACAAAGACATTCCCCGTCCCGGTCCCTGTTTCAGGGACGCCCTGTCCAGCTGCAGCCGAGGGAGGACCTCAAACTGGAGTTTGTGCTGTTTGCTGAATGAACAAATGCCACATGCCCTGGGTGGATGGAGCTGAGATGGGGCTCAGCCTTGGGCTGCCTTCTTCCTCCACCCAGTTCTTGTGGCCTGCCATTGGGTTCCACCATGGAGAGGAACGGAGTCTTTTCCAGCAGTGGAGTTGCCCCCCAAAGCATTCGCCCAGGTCCTCTGGGGCTACTGTGGGTGGTTTACCATACTGGCCATTTTTTTCCCCCTATGAAGACTGCACATGTCACGCAGGAAATGGGGAGGTGCTCCTGGGCTTGGGCTGAGCTCAGGCAGGCGAGGGACCAGGTTGGTGCACCAGGGCACTGAGGAGGAGGCAGGTCGTTCTCAGGCCCCAAGTTACTGTGCCAGTCCTCGTTGCTGACTGAGCTCCTGACCCAGCCTGAGTGCCTAACCAGGCCTGTGTGGCCCGAGGGCCCTCAGTCCTCTAGCAGTCCCCGCGCGTCCCCTAGTTCTCTGTTCGCCCCCAGGCCATCGGCGTCCTGAGCGTCCCCTCGTCCCTGCGCGCTCCCAGGTGTCAGGACCTCCGGACAGCGCGTGGCCCACCCCGTGACGCATTTCCAATAGCTGGGAACGTCGGCCCCGCGGGGCGCGCACCCGAAACACCGGGGCGCGCGCATCGTGCACGCGCGCCATCACGTGACCCACGCGCGGCCAATTGGCGCGCCGGGATTTGGGGGGCAAAGCGCGGCCCCGCGGGCAGTTGCGGCGGGCCGAGAGCGTGACTCGCCCGCTCCGGCGCTGCTTGCTTCTCGCCGCCCGCGCTCTGCGCAGCCATGTCCGAGGAGAAGCCCAAGGTAAGGGCCGGGGCACGGGCCGTCCGGTTCCCCCCCCCGCCCACGCCGCCTGGTCGCCGGCCCCCGTGGCCTCCGGGGGTGGGAACAGTGCCGTCGGCCGGGCCCGGCCACCAGGCCTCGCGCCCCTCCCCCGGGCGCCGCTCGCTCCCCTACCCCCCGCCCGCGCCCCAGCCAGGCCCCGCCCCGACAAGGCCCCGCCCCGACAAGGCCCCGCCCCTTCCTCCGGGGAGCTCCGCCCGGGGCGGCCTTAGGACTCGGGGGGCGGGGCCGACGCGGCCCAGGAAGGCGCGGGGAAGGCTGCCTTCGGCTCGGAAGCCCCGCGCCGCGACCCCTCCCTCGCTCAGAACTGCGCCGCCCCTGACCTCCGCCCTGCCGAGACCCTCCGCAGGACAGCCGCTCACCCCGGGACCTGCGGTCCGAGCCTCGGGCCTGGCGGCGTCTGCCGAGGCGTTGCTGAGGCTTCTTGATCCTCTGCGGTTCCCGGTGCGGAGAGCGGAGAGGGCGCGAGCTGGGGACCGGCGGCGAGGCCGCGCGGATAGCCGGCCAACCCCGCGCTCCGGCTGTGCGCCCACCTCCCCGTCGCCGTCCTCGGCCGCGCGCCCACCTCTCCGTCGCCGTCCCCGGCCGCGCGCCCACCTCCCCGTCGCCGTCCCCGGCCGTGCGCCCACCTCCCCGTCGCCGCCCCTGGCCGTGCGCCCTTCCTTCCCGTCGCCGTCCTCTAGCGCCCACCTCCCGGTTCCTAACTGCCCTCTAGATCTTGCCCACCCTGCGCGGCCGCGCCCTCCTGTGTATACGCGCTTCACTCGGGTGCATTGGCTGTCAGTCTTTGGGAAGGCCCGCGGTTGTGTTAAATACTCTTTATTAAAAACAGGATTGTGAAGCTTTTCATATGCACTCTTGGCGTCCGTCTGTTTGACCAAGTGGAAGATCTGCTGTTGAGTTCTATGCTTTGCACAGAGGCTCCCTCGGATGCCAGCCTGGCGCTAGAGAGTGCGCTCCTTCAGCTGAGGTGGGAGCCCCTTGTGCCCAGGCGTGCACGGGAGGCAGAGTCGCGTGGACCTGGGTCCTGGAGCCCATGGTCTGGCATTTGCACTCTCCCTGCCCCCTTGAGAAAAGATCCCATTCCAGAAAAACCTCTCCAGATGCAGTCAGAGCTGCCTTCGCTTTTACATTTTGATTGCAACTCAGCCTTTTACGCTGCTTCTCCTGTCCTGGGTGGTTTGTTTATTCTGGGCTAAATGTAAAGGCCCGTTCTTTCTGTTTTTCTAGGTGGCTTCCTCTTCCTAAAGTTTAAATACAATGACATGCATATGATACTCTTCAGTGTGTTTAAACTTCACTCTGGGGTGGTCACCATCCACGGTCCAATTTAGATGAATAAACTTATTTTAACTATTGCCAAACTGACTTAGAGGTGCACCTCCTGTGCCCTTGGCCTGCTCAGGAGCTGTTCTCTCCTCCGGGCCTGGAAAGGAGGGGGACGACGCACACACTTGTGGCGATGGAAAAACACCGTATGGGTCAGCTGGGAAAACTGTCTGTCTCCCTGGATAGCTGAGGCAAGGGATTGACTGTAGTGAATGTGGTTGATATTTTCAGGGTTCTCTTTTTCTTTTACTCCTTGTTTGTTGGGAATTCACCAGGGGTCTTGGACAGGTGCTCTGTTTTTGGTACCCCAAAGTTGGAGAGGAGAGGTGTCCAGGCTGTCCCTTCCTGTACCAACCCCACATCCCCCTGAGCTTCCCCCGCTGCCTCCCTGTGCTCATCTGCAGCCACTGTCCTGTACTTCTGTTTGTTTTGTGTTCTGGTTTCTGTATCTGATTGTTTTTTTACATAGCCATATCTTTTCATTAAAAAAGCAAATGCATCCTCTATCCTTTTTAACACCATGTACAAAAATTAACTCAGAATGGATCAAGGACCTAAATGTAAGACCTAAAACAATAAACTCTTAAGAGAAAACATAGGATAAAATTTCACTTGGATTTGGCAAAGGTTTCTTGGATATGACACCAAAGACACAGGCAACAAGAGAAAAACAGATTAGGCTTCATGAAAATTAAACTGCATCAGAGACACTATCAACAGACTAAAGAGGCAACTCCAGAAGGGGAGAAGATACTGCAAATTGTGTATCTGACCAGAGGTTAATACCCCAAATGTAGAGAACTCCTAAAACTCAACAACAAAAAACCTGGTTGAAAGACAAAGGGCATGAACAGACCTTTTCCAAGCAAGACATACAAATGGCCAACAAGTCCATGAGGGGATGCTCAGCACCACCGCCGTCAATGCAAACGACAAAGAGACAGCACCTCACACCCACGGGGATGGGGCTGCCATGAAAAAACCAGAAAATAACAGTGCTGGTGTGCATGGGGAGAAACGGGCCTGAGCACTGCAGGTGGGAAGGTGACATGGTGCAACTGCTGTGGACAATGGCTCAGCAGTTCCTGAACACTGAACACAGAAGTGCCACGGGACCCAGCAACTCCACTGCTGGGGGTATAGCCAAGGGAAGTGAAACAGGGTCCTGAGCCATCTGCACACCCAAGTTCACAGCACCGTGCCTCACGGTGGCCAAAACGTGCAAGTAACCCGAGTGTCTGTCCATCTGTGGATAAAGGATACACAAAACATCCATCACACAGTGGATTACTTAGCTTTAGAAAGGAAGTTCCGACGCCCACACCACGTGGGCGAAGCTCGAGGGCATTACACTCTGTGGAGCAGGGGAGACGCAAAAGGACAAATACTGGACCCCATTTATGCGAGGACCCTAGAGCCGTCAGATTCCTGGAGACAGAAAGTAGGTTGGTGGCAGCCATTCTTCAGGGGCTGGGGAAGGGAGAATGGGGAGTTGGTGTTTAATGGGGATAGAGTTTCAGTTTTACAAGACGGAGAGTGGAGGCAGATGGTGGTGATGGTTGCCCAGCATTGTGCATGTATTTAATACCACAAAAATGGTTAAAATGGTAATTTTTATGTTTTGTGTATTTTAACACAATTAAAAAAAAGAAAAAAAAATTCTCTAAATGCAGTGTAATACCTGGATTGGATCCTGGAAAGCATAAGGGCGTTGGTGGAAGTACTGGTGAAATAGCAGAGAAGCTTGGCATCCCATCGCTAGTGCTGTGCCCACGTTGGCTTCCTGGGTGTAACTGAGGTGCCGTGGTTGGGGAAATGCTGACACGGGGGGCACTGGGCAAGGGCTGCACAGGAGGACTCTCTGTTTTGCAACTTTTCTGTAAATGTTAAATTATTCCAAAATAAAGCCTTTACTTGGAAAAAAACAAAAATGAATGCATCCTTAGTCTCCCATAATGACGGGGATGCTCATGAGGAGACCCAGCTCCACCATGGCCTTGGGGCACTGGGCACCCCCATTGGCCTCGCCTGGCCGCCCCACACTGCAGTCGTGGTCCTGGAGAGGGCCTGGCCATGCTGGTGCTGGGGTGGCCTTGCCACAGGAGGAGGTGCCTGTGGCCCCGGGGTGCGTAGAGCCGGACATCTGCCTTAGCCTGGCTGCTGGGATCTCGCCTCCTGGGGCCACTGCCTGGGCTGCCCCGAGCTGCCTGGACGGAGCTGCGAAGCCCCTTGAGGCCCCCAGGAGCATGTGCACGGATGTGGCCTCCTGACCCCAGGGCCCTTCTGTTGGCCCGGCTAGGGACACAGGGAGGAGAGTGGGGTCCCCAGCCCAGGAGGGAAGGGCAGCCCAATCCTCCCAGGGAGCCTGTTCCGGCCAGCCCTCAGCTCTGACATGGCAGTCAGCTCCTTGGGTCCACAGCGGTGCAGGACACGCCGGAAGGATGAGTACCAGGTGGGGAGAAATGCACTCGGTGCTCCTTGATCACCATTGGAGCTATTTCAGATCAGCTCGGGTCAGCCCCAGCATTTTGTTAAAAACTGAGCAACTCCTTCCTCCCTGAACAGTGCCAGGTAAACGAGGCAGCCCCGCCCAAAGGGCCATCTGTGGCACATCCCACAGGGAGTGCCACGCGGGCTCCAGACCAAGCCACCCTGGTGGCCGCTGCTCCTGAACGGCGGCTTCTTGCGTTAATTCCACATGTATATCCAGGTGACAAGACACCCCAGTCATGTGATGGTTCAGGAGCCTTGTGTGTGTGTGTCATGAATTACATAAGAGAAACGCTGGACTTGCTCCCTTCAGGTAGGATGGACTGGGACTGGAGACCACAGGAGCGCTGGCCCCGCACCTGCGGTCGGCAGCAGGAGGTGGAGGCTGCGTGTGAAGTCGGGACCCCCGGCCAGATGGTGGCACGCCACTTTTCTTTAGTCGTAGACACTTGTCGTTTGTTCTATTTTACAGTCCTGTACAAGTGTATTTACCCTGAGAACATGCATTTACTAGTTTCATAAGTGTAATCTTAGCACAAAGATGGATTTTTCTCAGAATTAACTATCTGAAATATGGATATGCACTACATTTCCTTACAAGTGGATGCTTAGCAAATAGAAGTTAAAAATAAATTCTGTGTAAAAATAATCACATGAGTGACTGGGTTGCTGGAGATTTTCAAGAATTAGGTTGGTTTGAGAGACTTAAACTGCAGCAGTTACCTAAAGACTCTCAGTTTTAAATGGAGGTTGTTTTGAGACATGGTGTTGAGGCCCAGTCTCTCATTTTTTGCAGGAGGGAGTAAAGACAGAGAACGACCACATCAACCTGAAGGTGGCCGGGCAGGACGGGTCTGTGGTCCAGTTCAAGATCAAGAGACACACTCCACTGAGCAAGCTGATGAAGGCCTACTGCGAGAGGCAGGTGTGTCCTCCCGCCTGGGGCCTGGGGCCTGGCGCTTTGCCCTTCAGAGTGAGCCGCGGCCCCTTGAGTCACTGGAGTCCAGGCTGTTCAGGGTTCCATTGTCCTGGAGGCGTGTGTGTGCACCTGTGTCTGTGGGTACGTGCGTGTGTGCACATGAGTGATGCCTTTGGGGCTGTTTCTTGTCAGCCCCTGTCATCTCCTGGTCGCCCTGTCAGCTCTCTTCCCCGGGGATCCTGCTGTTCTCCCTTGGCAGGCAGGCCATGCGGCCGACTTGCTCCGTGGAGGTCGCCTTGTGAGTTTGTCCCATGCAGCCCTGTGGCTCCTTCAGGTGCCGCGGGCACACACAGGTGGAGACGCTGCCCACAGTACCATGGTTCCCAGAAAATCCTTGATCCTTTCCTGTTATTTTCTGGTTTCCAAAATACTCAGCTGACCGACTAGCCCTCTGCCCCAGACAGTGGTGTGCCATGCTGGTGTCCCTGCGGGTGCCCTGGGGCTTGTCCCATGGTCTGCTCTGCTCTCCCGGGCTCTCGGGCCCCCTGTGGCCGCAGCCTCTGCTCCAGGGCCTGGGCCTTTCTCTGAATGCTTTGAAAATACTAGTCGGTTAGTTTCCACACTTGGCTTTGACCCTGCTGGCCTTGGCATTTTTATTACAAAAAAACCCTTAAGAAAGGAACATGCTTTCTGCTCACCCCAGGCCACTGCTGCAGCTGCTCCGCCTGCACTTGACTCTCAGTAACTGGGCCACTACTTGTATTTCTGCCTGTCTTGACTCGGGTTGTTTCCCCCGTGAAAGGAGAACCTTAGCTCCCTTACATGGCCGCCACATGCTCTTCCTGTGGTGCTCAGGCACCCCCATCCCCAGCGCCCTGGGGGAGGGCTGGCCTTGGTCTGGTGGTGGGCATGGAACGTTCTGGGTGCCTGTTATTGGATCACCCCATTCTCTGCTGTCCTGCACGATCCCCTAGGTCCATCGCCCTGGTGGCCCTCTCCCACATCTTGTGGCTTTGCTATTTCCACATCCCTCTGGCAGCTCTCCTCCTGCCCCCTGGGCCTGCCATCTCCCCAGAGCTTCCTCAGAATTATTCTGGAAACTTCTCTCACTTCCCTCCCAGTATTTTTTAGATTAATCTTCTTCCCCAGTCTTGATGAAACATGTCTTCCAGTATCCTGTTCTGAAAAGTTGTAAGTGCAGCAGCTTTGAGACCCAGCGTGTTTGAAAATGACTGCTTTTTATAAGCCTTTACGCTTGACTATTTGGCTGCATGTAAATGTCTAGGTGGAAATTCATTTTCTGTTTTTGGAGCTAGTGCAACATTTTCTTCTCTCTTTCAGTGTTGATGTGAAAAGTTCAGGGACATTTTGATTCTCTGTCTTTGTATGTGACTTGGTTTTTCTCTGAGAGCATCTGGGACACATTCCTGTGTTCTGGAATTTCACTGTCATGTGGTCTGAGGTGCATAATTTTTTCCCATCCACTTCTCTGGGCCCTTTCGACCCAGAAACTTAGTTCTGCTCAGAATGGCTGTGCACTGGTGGGCTGACGGTTCAGGCCCCTGTGCCCCTGCCCCTTGAGAGACCCCGTGCACCTTGAGCTGCTGCCTCTGGGTGTGTGGTCAGGGTCATCTCCCATTTGCACTGGGCTTTGTTGTGCTGTTGTCCCCTTTCTGGGATGTTTTCTGTTCCTACCTTACATGAGGGTCTTCCTTCTGCCATGGTTTCTAATTTCCAAATGCTCTTCATTTTTTCTTGTGAGGGCTTCTTTTCTCCCCAGTAGCCACTTGCTGTCACTTTCCAGCTCCCTAAGAATTTCAGAGGTGTGGGTGTGGGACTGTTCTCTGCTCTCCTCCTCTGCCTGTGCCCCTGATAGCCTTTCCTTCATGTTGGGCTGATCTCACATCTGAGACCTTCTTTGCATGTCCTGTAATCCTCAGTTAACTGCCCACAGTTAGGAAGGAAACCCTAAGAGGCCCGGGAGCAGCTGTGTGCAGAGGGGTCCTCAGGGCCGCAAGCCGCCGTGAGGTGCCTGCCGGGACTGGTGGCTCTGTGTGGGCTCCCGGAGGTTATGACCTGTGAGTTACCAGCTTCCCAGAAGTGGCCCCCCTGCTCCTGCCTGTGTACCCGGAGCACAGCTGGATGGGACAAGGGTGCTTGGAAGTGGCGGTGGGCATGCTGGCTTTTCCTACTGCTTGAGGCTGGCAGCTTGTTGCTGCCTCACTTGCGCCTGGTGAGGCAGGCAGGCCATGCGGCCGACTTGCTCCGTGGAGGTCGCCTTGTGAGTTTGTCCCATGCAGCCCTGTGGCTCCTTCAGGTGCCGCGGGCACACACAGGTGGAGACGCTGCCCACAGTACCATGGTTCCCAGAAAATCCTTGATCCTTTCCTGTTATTTTCTGGTTTCCAAAATACTCAGCTGACCGACTAGCCCTCTGCCCCAGACAGTGGTGTGCCATGCTGGTGTCCCTGCGGGTGCCCTGGGGCTTGTCCCATGGTCTGCTCTGCTCTCCCGGGCTCTCGGGCCCCCTGTGGCCGCAGCCTCTGCTCCAGGGCCTGGGCCTTTCTCTGAATGCTTTGAAAATACTAGTCGGTTAGTTTCCACACTTGGCTTTGACCCTGCTGGCCTTGGCATTTTTATTACAAAAAAACCCTTAAGAAAGGAACATGCTTTCTGCTCACCCCAGGCCACTGCTGCAGCTGCTCCGCCTGCACTTGACTCTCAGTAACTGGGCCACTACTTGTATTTCTGCCTGTCTTGACTCGGGTTGTTTCCCCCGTGAAAGGAGAACCTTAGCTCCCTTACATGGCCGCCACATGCTCTTCCTGTGGTGCTCAGGCACCCCCATCCCCAGCGCCCTGGGGGAGGGCTGGCCTTGGTCTGGTGGTGGGCATGGAACGTTCTGGGTGCCTGTTATTGGATCACCCCATTCTCTGCTGTCCTGCACGATCCCCTAGGTCCATCGCCCTGGTGGCCCTCTCCCACATCTTGTGGCTTTGCTATTTCCACATCCCTCTGGCAGCTCTCCTCCTGCCCCCTGGGCCTGCCATCTCCCCAGAGCTTCCTCAGAATTATTCTGGAAACTTCTCTCACTTCCCTCCCAGTATTTTTTAGATTAATCTTCTTCCCCAGTCTTGATGAAACATGTCTTCCAGTATCCTGTTCTGAAAAGTTGTAAGTGCAGCAGCTTTGAGACCCAGCGTGTTTGAAAATGACTGCTTTTTATAAGCCTTTACGCTTGACTATTTGGCTGCATGTAAATGTCTAGGTGGAAATTCATTTTCTGTTTTTGGAGCTAGTGCAACATTTTCTTCTCTCTTTCAGTGTTGATGTGAAAAGTTCAGGGACATTTTGATTCTCTGTCTTTGTATGTGACTTGGTTTTTCTCTGAGAGCATCTGGGACACATTCCTGTGTTCTGGAATTTCACTGTCATGTGGTCTGAGGTGCATAATTTTTTCCCATCCACTTCTCTGGGCCCTTTCGACCCAGAAACTTAGTTCTGCTCAGAATGGCTGTGCACTGGTGGGCTGACGGTTCAGGCCCCTGTGCCCCTGCCCCTTGAGAGACCCCGTGCACCTTGAGCTGCTGCCTCTGGGTGTGTGGTCAGGGTCATCTCCCATTTGCACTGGGCTTTGTTGTGCTGTTGTCCCCTTTCTGGGATGTTTTCTGTTCCTACCTTACATGAGGGTCTTCCTTCTGCCATGGTTTCTAATTTCCAAATGCTCTTCATTTTTTCTTGTGAGGGCTTCTTTTCTCCCCAGTAGCCACTTGCTGTCACTTTCCAGCTCCCTAAGAATTTCAGAGGTGTGGGTGTGGGACTGTTCTCTGCTCTCCTCCTCTGCCTGTGCCCCTGATAGCCTTTCCTTCATGTTGGGCTGATCTCACATCTGAGACCTTCTTTGCATGTCCTGTAATCCTCAGTTAACTGCCCACAGTTAGGAAGGAAACCCTAAGAGGCCCGGGAGCAGCTGTGTGCAGAGGGGTCCTCAGGGCCGCAAGCCGCCGTGAGGTGCCTGCCGGGACTGGTGGCTCTGTGTGGGCTCCCGGAGGTTATGACCTGTGAGTTACCAGCTTCCCAGAAGTGGCCCCCCTGCTCCTGCCTGTGTACCCGGAGCACAGCTGGATGGGACAAGGGTGCTTGGAAGTGGCGGTGGGCATGCTGGCTTTTCCTACTGCTTGAGGCTGGCAGCTTGTTGCTGCCTCACTTGCGCCTGGTGTCTTGAGGCCCAGGCTTCTGAGGCTCTCTCTCCAGAAGGTATACCTTCTACCTGTGGAGGGACAGTACCAGGCCTCGTGGGGTGGGGGACCTGATGTGCTGTCTGACAGGAACTTTGAAGCAGTCATCCAGCCTTGGCTGCCCACTGCCTGCCTCCCTCAGACCTGCGTCGCCTCTTCGCCTCTCAGGTTCTGCGTTTTGCTGCCCCCGCCCCCACCCCCACCCTGACTTTGGGGTCTAGTGTCCATGGCGCTGTAGCTTCCAGCCCAGTGACATCCTTTGTGTGTCAGCCTGTCCCCATTCCTGTTCTTTGTCTTTGTTGCTGCCTTTATTTAGAAGGTTTTAGGAGGGAGCAGAGAGTGCATGTTTAATCCTGTCTGTCCTGCTTACATGAAATCAGAACTGCTTTTTAAAAGGAAATGTTTCTGCATACTGAGCATGTTAACCATTCCCTTAGGACACAGAAGGGCTGCCTGTGCTCCTTTCTGGATAGAAAATGCCCTCCTGTTGCCTTTCTTCAAGGCCAGAGTCACTGGGGCTGCTTTCTGGTTTATGCAGTCTTCTCATCATGGCCTCATTGTCCTCTGAGCTGTTTCCAAGAATCCCTTTTGAGGTGGAGAAATGGTGGTGCCGACAGCACAAAATTCCTGCTCAGCTTTGGAGGGGAATGAGGGGTGACTGAGGCCCAGCACCAGGGACTGGCAGATGGTAGAATAGGGGTTCATGGGAGTATTGGTGTTGGGGCACCACTGAAATGGGCTATAGGCCCACCGGCAGGTCTTTGGATCAACCAGGTTGTGAATCTGTATATTCAGAATTCTTATATAAATACTTGATTTTTTTGGAATTAATGTGTTAGCTAGCAATATTTAATGATAATTTCTTTTTCTTTTCAGGGCTTGTCAATGAGACAGATTAGATTCAGGTTTGATGGGCAACCAGTTAATGAGACAGATACCCCAGCACAGGTATGAGCGCCAGCTTCCTGTGCATACTCGAGGGCTGCTTCTGACCTGCATTTGACCGACTGCCCTTTAGGAGGCTCCTATTTGAGAGTCACTGATTGGTGCTCACTAAGAATGCCTTACGTTTTCTTAATGGTTTCAATTATCAGATCGATGTTTTAATTTTGAGGTTTGATTTTTCAAATGAGAAAAATGCGTTGTCAGACATCATCTTCCATATTGGGAGATGGAGTAGGAGGCCTGGGTGCTCAGCAGAGGTGGTCCAGGGTCATAGATGAGGACCATTGCCCACCCAGTGTCTGTCTAGGCCATCTGGGCAGGTGCAGTTACACCCACTAGTGATCTGGACACTTGAGTCCGCAATGCTAGTCACTTTGTAGCTAAGTTCCTGGCTCGGTTCTTGTGCTGTTCAAATATTTATGCACAAGGGGTGAAGGTGGAGAGGAGAGGCAGCCTTGTACTGCTACGGCAGAGCGGTCAGCTCTTCAGTGGGGCTTCTGGAGCCAGGCTGGCCCTCCAGCTTGTCGCTCTGGCCACTGAGTACCCCATAGTGTCTGCAGTGGGACGGAGCCCTGCCAGCCTGACAGTACCGCTCTCCATTTGAGAAATTCCTGGGAACCCTGCTGCTTCCAGCCCTGGGTAGTCTCTGTATGAGCTGGCAGGAGCTTCCTTTTGCTCAAATAGGCAAAGGTCGGGGTGTTTGTGTCCCTGCCATGTCAGGAGAAGCAGGTGGTAAGCTCTGCACCAGCTCTGCCCTGGTCTTGAAGGAGAGGGAAGGAGCAGAGAGGAGAAGCCAGTGTGGTGGGTCCCTTGCTCTCTTGGGTCCTTCTGTGATTGTTTGCTTTGGATGTCATACATGAACCACTGCACTCAGGATAAAGCAGGTGGCCCCTGCCGAGCCCTGGGACTCAGTGCCACTCACTGGATGTTCCTAATTATAATCTGATTTTGTGTAATTTTCAGTAAAAATTTTAGACACTATTTTTAAATGAGTTTTGGGTTTTCTCTCAGTTAAAAAGTCCTTAGCTTTGACCGTTCTTTTCGAATTTTGTTAGGGAAAGCTGCATGAATACATAAGGTTTATTGGAAATCCAAAACTAGGCATCCCTTCCCTGCATGTTACCTGAGGGCTGGCCACAGAGCAGAGGTGCGATGGGGGCAGGGGCATCCTCTCGGGGAGGGAAACAGCTCCATGCACAGGTGGACTTTGCAGATTTCCTGTTCCTGTGATGGTAAGAAAACTAACAGCTTCCCTCTCTCCCGCTGTGCCTGTTGCAACACCCCTGCCAGCTGGAAATGGAGGATGAAGACACCATTGACGTGTTCCAGCAGCAGACAGGAGGCTCTTGGGAGACCAGCCCTTGCTTGGGGTGCCTCCATCCTCACATCTGCTATTGAATAGTGAACGCGTGACCATCCGAGTCGCAAAGGAGCCCGAAGCCGAGAACATTCACCGAAATTACTTTCCTCCCTCTTTGTACTGCAGCTCAGAACTCCATCTGCAGCAGTGAATCCACAGCTTAGGGCTGGCCAATCACAGTCATATCTTGGTTCAGATAGAACGAGTTGCGAGGTTTCTTGGGTTGGTTTTTGTTTTTCCCTCTTTCTGTAACATTTCCCCCAACTTGTGGCCTGAATGTCCACTTTTAGTCTGGGTGGGGATCTTCTCCCAGGCATTGATCCCCTGCCCCCACTGCTTATTGCAGTCATGTAGAGAACTCACATCACCACAGTGGGGGGCTTCTGTTGGACTGAGTGTTGGGGGCATGGTGGGGAAGGAAGAAACTTTCACTTACACTATTTCTTGTAGGCACAGGTTTTTAAAATGCTAATGTTGCAAATTATGTTTTGTCAGAATATGGTAAAGTTGAAGGGAAATACTGGAACACTTTTTAAAGAATAAAAAGAAAAATAAGTCCTTCAGGAACATGGCCCTGGGCACTGTGCTCCTTGTACCCCCAGGGGCAGGGTCAAAGGCTCAGGACCCATGACCACCCATTGCCCTGCCATGTTGTGTGGCAAGCCTGGTGTGGCTGAAACTGGCTTATCCCTTGATATGGAAGAAAGCAACTCCCACATTTCCCGCTTGATATTAGTACTGTGGCCTCAGATTTCTTCTAGTATTTGCTTCTGATGAATAATTATGGTCTATACATAAAAAGGTAAGATTTAAGTATTGCTGAATTTGCAGTTTTGTGTTAAGAGCTATTTGAAAGTGTGGTTACAAATGAAGCTCATGGAAAAATGACTTCGTCTTCTCATGGGCTTGTGCTATGCTGCTTTCCAAACAGGTATGGAATTTATGCATTAGTATGTGATTTCAGTTCTGTGAAGCATTTTGGGATCTGTACCAATTAACCTGATAGTTCTGCTGTCCACCTGTGTGGATCCACTGATGGTCCTCCTCGGTTGTTCTAGTCACCTGCACAGTGACCATGATCATCATCTCTTGCTTGCCTCAAATCTTGCTCAAGATGTTTGCATTTCCTCTGTTGTGCTGTTTGGGTGTGGGTGGGATGTCTGCTGGCTCTCTTGTGTTTATTCACCAATTTGTACATTATTTGTTGTCCTTTACTACTGTAAACAGTAAATATAGTTTGATATTCTGTCTCTTGGCTTGTATTAAATACTGCATTTGGAGGTTGGGCGTACTGTCACAGTATTTGTGTTGACTAGTTAAGACTGATTTAAAGGTGTGCTGCTGAAAAGTGATTATCCACCTGATGCTTCCTGTCTGCAGCCCTGGCAGATCACCTGCATTGTCAGACATCATCTTCCATATTGGGAGATGGAGTAGGAGGCCTGGGTGCTCAGGTGTTGGCATGTTCCTGCTGAGGGGTGCATCCTGTCTCTCCTCAGCTCTCCCAGCTGACTGAGCTGAACTGTCATAATTACTGCACTTTTCTTCTCCTGGGTGTTATGTAAAGAGAAGATAGGTTTTTGGAGGCAGACAGATCTGGACATTAGGCTGGGCTTCTCAAGTTTTTTGGTATTTAAATGTGAGACTTCATGCAACCAACAACCTACTCATGTATCTGAAAGGACAGTATTGGACTGCGTGTTTGTGATCTCGATCCTAAAAAATGCATACTTGTGAGGTGTGTTTGTATTGTTAAATCTCATTCAGTTCAACACATACTTACTGTCATGTCCAGGTACTGCGGCTGCATTCAGGAACAACTCAGACAAAAACTCCCTGTCCTCACGGAACATGTTTTCTGGTTAGAGTAGATAATAAAAATATTAAGTAAATTACATATTATGCTGGTAGATTATATAGGACATTTCATAGTAAATTCTACACAATGGCACGCAGGATGCATATAGGTAAATGCTGTAGAGGAAACTCTTCTTTCTTAAAGGTTGCATATACCCTGTGTGGCAGAGCCATAAAGTACTACAAGTATTTACCTTCCTTGGAGTCATAAGAATGGGGTTTTAATAATTAAATAGATCACTGAACCCCAGGGGGTCAACTGGGAGTAGAACCACAGCATTATGAAAAAGCACCCTCTGGTTATCCCAGTACACGTTACACAGTTGTGGAGAAGCAGGAGCCTGCGGGGGTAGCTGGAAAGTGGCTGTCCCTCCGCCTCCTGAAGCAGTGCCCAGGGGCTCCAATCAAGCTTGGGGGCCTGCGAAGTCGGTGGCTGCTGCTAAGGGGCCCTGCTGCTGTACCACCTGCGACGGTCTCCTGGATGCTCCCTCTCCGTGGAAGCTAAGGCCCGGGGAAGCCCAAATTCCAGCTGTGTCATAACGCAGAACCAAACTACCACGATCACCAATCTGCTTTCCCAAACCTTCCAAAGCCCATGTGAAGGCAGGCAGAGGGGCAGGTGTCATCTTCGTGGGCTGCGCGCTGAAACCGCAGTTGGGCATGAAGTCGCCCTGGCAGGCCCACGTGCCCCAGGGCCATTAGCCGGCTGCTGGTGCTCAGGTACTCCCCTCACTGCATCCTGAGGGCACCACCCGAATGTAGTCTGCGCAGCCGGCCGCCACGCGCTCTGCCCGCCGTCCCCCTCCGTCTGCCCCATGCCGGCCGCGTCGCAGCCGTCCCTCTCCCCGGCGCCAGCCCCCTCCTTGCAGGGCCCTCAGCCGAACGACGAGACAGGCGGTAACACACTCCCCCCGCGGCGCCAGCGGCTCCGGGATCTTCCGGAGGGCCCGGCCCCCAAAGGCACGTGGGCCGCCGAGGGAGGCGACGCCAACCCAGCAGGCGGCGGAAGAACCGGGCTGAGTGCCGGGACTCCGGGATCCCGGGCGGGCAGGAGGGTGCGCATGCGCACAGCTCCGCAGAGGGGGGGGCCCCACCCCGCCTATTGCGCACGCGCTCCGCGCCCGGAAATGCTCCTGTGCCCCGGAAAGGCTCATTGTCCCGCGGCGACCCGGAAGCGGCCGGGCGTCGGGCGAGAGGGACGAGCACTTAGGAGACGAGGCCGGAAGGCAAGTCTGTTGCCCGTACCATGGCGGGGACGGCGCTCAAGAGGCTGATGGCCGAGTACAAACGTGAGTGAGGTCCGCCCGGAGCCCCGGCCCCCGCCCTCGTACCCCCTCCGTGGTCACCGGGCCTGTCAATGCGGCCCTGCCGCGCTGCTGGGGAGGCCCCGGGCGCAGGCCGGCGTGTGGCGGCCCGAGTTGAGCTGCGGGAGTTGAGGGCTCTCCACACCACCGAGTCACACCCGTTTGTTCACGGTTAGGAGCTCGGGGTTTTCGTTCTGGTAAATTGTGAGCCACTGAAGTCTCCGGTCGCCCGCCTCTGCTGTGCCCCGTCCTGTCTCTCGAATGTGTAAATAGACTCGTAAAGAGAACTCTTTAAAAAGTAGAAGCTAAACGTTACCGCTGTTAGTTCAGGAATGCGTAAACGCCCGCGTTCAGTCCTAGCCCTTTATCTTTGCCTCGTTTAGTAATTTAGAGGGCTCCCTGATTCCAGCCTCGCAGACACGTAGTGAGAGAGAGGGAGGGAAACCGAAACGGCCTACTGGGAAGTCAAGCAACCCAAAGAGTGTTAAGAGAAAAAGCGCATTGTGAAGAGTTGGCGGTGAAAGGTCAGGTTTTGGTTTTCAAGAAGGGAACAGAGTTTTCGAACAGTGCCACCTGTCAGTCTTCCTAAGTAGTGTTCAGAAAACCTCTGCTCATAACCAGTAACGTTTTCTGATATTTTGGGCGAAGCAAAGGGAGAAGTGGGAACGTAGGAATATTCCATGTTCTGCCTTTGTGCAGTGGCATGCTCCCTTCAGAGCTGCCCTGATAAGTCCGGATGCCCTGTGTTGTAGGTGTTCCGATCAACTGTGGAGACTAGGTGGCAAGTCGAGGGTGGTTAAGAGCCAGGCCTCTGGAGCCACAGACCTGGGTTCAGACCATGCTTCTGCTTACTAGCTCTCTGAACATGGCCCTTGACCTTTACACTTTTCCTCATCTGAAGATTAATGCTTAGCGAGATGCCCAGTAGGTAGTTCTTGGTAATGTTAGCCATTATTGTTATAATCACATTGAGGACACTTTCAGGAGAAAGTTGAAAATAAACTAAAATAATGAATGTAATAAGAATAATTTGTAAATATGTGTGCAGCTCAATTTACTAAACCATGCGGGGTGGCACTGCACAGGGAGAGTTGGTGTTTGGCATGAGCAAACCAAATGCGGGCTCATTAAATAAATATTGAATTAAAGGACCACCTAGAGTCCTTTAAATTTGTGATGTATTTAAGAGAGTCATTGTGGGGAGAGTGTGGACAGAGAGAGGGTTAGGTATGGGAGGGCTGCTCCTCATGGGAAACCTGGCTGCGGGGGCAGGTCAGTGGGTGGGAACACCTACCATCTCCCATCTGCCTGGGCTGTGTCTCTGTTCCTGTGTCGGTCTGTGTCTAGGCTGCGAGCAGTTGTTATATTTCTCATTTCCACAGAGAAGGAATCTGAAGCCCTGCACAGTTCAGGCTGCAGCTTCAGTATGGACTCGGCATTGGGGAACTTGTTTCCTAAGGATATTTGCATTAGCAAAGATGATTTTCCCTTACTGGACTTAACAGGCCTTATCCATTTTTCAGCATATTGTCAGTTGTCAGTAATAAAATGCAGATAACGGTTGACTTCCAAAGCTGTATCACAGAAATGTGTTGTGTATGTTTTTATGTGTTTCATGTGACATTTTGGTTATGTGTGGAAGGCAGAACTCTAAAGATGTCGCCCTAAGATTCCTGTCTCCTGATTACACAGGTGGGCATGAATCTGGGCACTGCTGCCGAGGGGCTCTGGAGATGCAATTTGCAGGTTACCAAGGAGCTGACAGGGCGATTATTCTGGATTATTGGGGTAGAACCCAACAATCACACAAGGCCCGAACACAGGAGAGGAAGGTGGGAGAGGTGAGGTAGGAGGGGTCAGTGAGAGTCAGTATGGGAAGGACTCCCCCTGCCATGCTGGCTTTGAAGAGGGGAGAGGGGCCCAGAGTTGAGAACACAGTGAATGACCTGAGAATGACCCTGGGCTGACCGCAGCAGTAGGGATGCTGGAACCTCAGTCCTGTGGCTGCAGGGAACTGCATCATGCCAGCTACCTGAGTGAGCCCTGCCAGGTAGCCCTACCTGTGACCTCTGCTTTGTGAGACCAAGAAGAGAACCAACAGACCATGGGGTCCTCAGCCTTCTGATACGTGGAAGCAGTGAGATGGCCAGTGGTGGTGTGTATACCACTGCTGAGTTTGTGGTAATTCTATTTAGTGGTGCTTATCTTTTGTGTCTTAGCATCTAGTTCTTTTCTCCCACCACAATTTAAGGTAGTACATCCAGTGTAAAGGTGGACTTTTCAGAAACAAGCTCTATGTGAGATGGGGTTTTAGATATACCTGGGTAGGTTCAGGCACAATTTATTGTATTTTTTTTTTTGAGTGGGCATCTCTCATATTTATTGATCAAATGGTTGTTAACAACAATAAAATTCTGTATAGGGGACTCAATGCACAATCATTAATCAACCCCAAGCCTAATTCTCAACAGTCTCCAATCTTCTGAAGCATAACAAACAAGTTCTTACATGGTGAACAAGTTCTTACATAGTGAATAAGTTCTTACATGGTGAATAGTGCCAGGGCAGTCATATCACAGAAACTTTCGGTTTTGATCACACATCATGAACTATAAACAATCAAGTCAGATATGATTATTCATTTGATTTTTATACTTGATTTGTATGTGAATCCCACATTTCTCCCTTATTTTATTTATTTTATTTATTTTAATGAAATGTTGAAGTGGTAGGTAGATGCAAGATAAGGGTAGAAAACATAATTTAGTGTTGTAAGAGGGCAAATGTAGAAGATCAGTTCTGTGCCTATAGACTAAGTATTAATCCAAGCTAGACAAGGACAACAAAACATCCACAGATGCAGATTTCTCTCAAAACAGGGGTGGTGAGATTCTAAGCCTCACCACTGTTGATCCCCAGTTTCTCACCTGATGGCCCACCTACCGACTGTGCCTGTCTTAGGTTGTTCCTCCCTTGAGGAATCTTACCCGTCTCTGGCTAGCCAGCCGTCTTCTGGGGCCATACAGGGAAATGTAAAGTTGGTAAGTGAGAGAGAAGCAGTTTATTGTATTTGTGGACAATTATAAGCTGCAGAAATTTAGAGGTGGTAGGACTTTGGA